ACTTGGCTGGAGATTGTGGCTAGAGATCCTGGCAAGGCTGCTGATCAACTGAACGCTGTCTCTGTGTCATTCCTTCTTCGCCGACTCCGTCCACACCTTTGGGGAACCCCTGGACCTGCTGGGGTTGGACCCCAGCACTAGTGCAGACTTCTCACCGGTGTTTAGCACCTTCTGAGATGGTGCCAGGCACCCAGAAGCTAGGAATGGAAGCAATGAGAAGATGTGTAACCGTCTGTCTCCCACAAGAGCAGGTCTTACAGGGGAACATGCATTCATCTCATGTTGTCATTACCTTCTCAGCCCTAAGAGGTTTTTATCCTTCCTGTAAATGGGGCTGTTGGGGGGCAGGGGGCAGTGACTTTTCCGATGAAATCATGCTTCCCCATACCGGCCTGGTTGTAGGACCTCTTCATGCTGAACCCTTAGGTTTTGCGTAAACTTGTTAATCCTGAAGTTAACAATCAAAGTTAAGCCCAAATAGAGGAACTCAGACTGCAAACTAGGACAAGTAGTTCCCAAAGGGCGACCATAGTCCTTTCTTGCTCTTACCTGGCATAGAAGTCCTTGTCAGTGGAACTGATTTTTTTTAGTTTTTCTGCTTTTAAACTTCTCACCAGCAGTATAATGTGCAGTGGACACAAAGTCACAATCTTATGGCGTTACTGCTATACCAGTCTTAGTTATTTAGGGGAGGCAACAGCCTATTCTTCTGTACCAAACATTGGGAAACCTGGTCGGCCTCCAAAGATTTTTTTTTTAGAGATTAGATCTGTCTCACAGTGCTATACTGTGAAAATGTTACAGATATAAGCATTGTAGAAAAAGCACAATTGTGCTGTGCTCGCTTCATTCTGGTTTTTAGTGGTTAGTCTTCCACAGTAATGTGAGATTTCAGGGAAATGTGTGATTTTTTTCCTTTTAAAACCATTACTAAATTCAGAAGTTTTGCAGTTTTGTGTGTATATATCGTGTGTATATATATTTTATCTCCCCATCTCTTTCTTGCCACTGCAGTCTGTGGTTGCTATGGAGAAGGTTTCGATAAGGAATCATATCAGAAGGTTAAAAGTTCTTCCTGCATCAGGGACAGAAATAACGATCCCCCTCATCTCTCTGCGTCCTGCCTTCCTGCGTCGATCTTCAGCACTGCACTGCCCGCTACCGAGGCGAGGGTGGCTCGATGCTCTATTTTAAAAATTACACAGAGAAGCCAATTCTTCTTTTTTACTTTTCAGCTTTACCATTTTACTGTAGGCACAGAATGGAAGGAAAGAATAGGCACACTAGATTGAATCGTCAACTCAGGACGTTTCTGTTTTGTATGAGTGATTTCCCCCCTGTTTTATTTGCGTGTTTAATTTTTAGTCTTTATTTGCTGATATGAGGGAGGAAGAGCTTAGGGAAAGGACCTGATGTAGAACAGTTGGGATTTGGTTAATCTGCTTAGAAATAACATTAATTGGTGTGTCAGATGCTGTCAACAATACAGGGCCTTCTAGCCCATTACCTTCCCAGTTTTTTCTTGCTTTTTCTTCCTGTACTGTCTTTGTTTCATTGAGATTTATGTTTTTGTGTCCTGCCAGTTATTTGTTTTCTAACATTTCTTTTATGTTTTTACTTTACATTAAATGAATTTCACTCCTGTTTTGTCATGGGAAAGTATCCAGTCTTTTGGCTTTTTACTCGGGGAGTGGAGGATAGAGATATGTAATATCACATATATCAAAGGAGGTTTTCTCTTAAGCATAGCTTATATGAGACTGGGTGAATCCATATCTATGACTTTCTTTTATCTGTTTCTCTTTTTTTAAAAAAATATGATTATTGATTTCAAAGAGAGGAAGGGAGATGGAGAAAGAGAGATAGAAACATCAATGAGAGAGAATCATCAATTCACTGCCTCCTGTACACCCCCTTCTGGGGATCAAGCCCGTAACCCAGGCATTGGACCTGACCTGGAATTGGACCTTGACCTCCTATTCATGGGTCTGTGCTCAACCACTGAGCCACACTGGTTGGGCCTTTATCTGTTTCTTACTCCTTGTTACTACGTTGTGTTGTTTTTTTTTTCTTGGCATGAGATTCAATTACTATTTATTAAGAGCTTCCTTATGCCAGGTACTGTAACGTTTGCTTCTTCAAAGTGATCTCATGAGATGTAGATATTTTTATCCCTTTTCTAAAAATGCACCCCCCTTCCCACAGTGCTCAAAGAGTTTAAGGTACATGCCCAAAGTTACATGGCTGTTCTCACATTCTAAGTACTGCACTCTTTTCACTGTTGCCAGGAGGCTGGGTGGAGTAGACATAGGCAGGCCCTGCAGGCGGACTAGACATTGGTTTGAATCCCAGTTCTATCTGCGAACATTATTTAGCATCTCTGGGCTTGGCTGTCCTCGTGTGTAAAATGTGATTAATAACCATATCCCCTCCCAGTCTTGTTTGTTACTAAGTTTATATAAAGTGTTTAGAACAGTATTTCACACTTAAGTTCTTGATGAATATTATCAAATACATATTGGATATTTACTGTATTATGGTTATTGGACATTTACTGTACTGGGATCTGGGCACAGAGTTTCTACCTAGAATCTGGTGAGAAAGACATGCACTAAGAGAATCTAAAGTGTTACGACAGTTTCAAGGCAGCATGAGGTGTAATGGAAGCATTTAAAGGGGGAAAGAAGTGTAACCTATTCTGGGGGTCAGGGGAATTTTGAGATATGGAGAGGTAGGAATGAGAAGGATCATTTGTGTGTTGGGGGGAAGGCAGGGGCAGGGGAGGCTATTTCAAGCTAGGGAATGAGACCATACGAATCCAGGAGAGCCCGGTGTACTCCCGGACCTGGAACATCCACCGTGGACGAAGTTCTGTAAGACTGGCCGGAAAGACAGGCGAACTCCAGATTACACAGGGCGTTGAGGGCCGTGGAAAGTCCTCAGACACCTTCTGTCAGCACATAATCACGATGCCACATAACTTCTCCCATCATTCTTAGATTTCTAAGAGCTTCTAACAGGATAGATAAATGCCCTATTTCCACATTTCAGATTTCTTATTTTGTTCATGTTGCATACACTGAAGAATGCTTTAAACTAGCTAAATGTTAAACTAGTACTGCCACAGACATATCCAAAAGATCAAGAAATGCTTAAGAATAATGTTGTTGGTGAACAAGAATAAAATATTTCAGTTGAGCCATTGTTTAAAATTTAATTGATTTCGGAATATTACATCCTTCCTGATGGTTTCAGATGGCTTTATTTGTTCATAAATAACCCTGCTTGTTGATTTAGCCACTGTTATCATATGAATGCTTCATTAGACAAATGGAGCTTGCTCATTACCGCCAAGTGGGGCTGTATTCCAGAACACGGCGAAGCTGGGAGCACATGGCTGTATTTAACAGTAAAGGCCATTTATCTGGCCTTCTGCCATCTGGAGACTTGAGTTAGTCTTTCCTAATGTGTCTTCAATCTGCTAACCAGACTGATACTGGCATTGAGCTACAGTGTGGCAATGTCAGAAAAGCCTACCGACATATAAAATCCTCGTGGTTTCTCTAGAAAACAAAGCAAAACTGAGGCAGGAAAGAAAAATACATTCCTCCCACCTTAATCACTGTCCAGATTAAAAACCTAGATTTTTTTCACAAGTTCTTTAGAAAGCTAAAACAGTAAAGAATTTTGATTTTTTTCCCCCCCTGAAAAGGGCCGGTCACAAGTTTGGATTTGGCTAGAGGGTTATCCTTATAACAAGAGGCTGTGCTTAGACTGAAAAACTAGCCCATGGACAGTCAGTTTTCTCTCCCCAGGCCCAGCCCTTTCTCTAAACTGATACCTGAAATGTGGAAGCACAGACATAGTGAAAAGAGTACTTCTTGGGACAGAGCCATTAAGATTTATTTTAAAATTACACCTACCTTTCTAGGACCCACAAAGGTTTGCAAGAAATGTCTATTCATCTATTATCTTTAAATCACGTGAAATACAAATCTGAGATTCTCTTCTTACCAGTGTGGCAGGAAATGTAATACCAACTATTATTCAGGCCTGTTCCTGTACCCTGAAAGATCTCTTACAGAGCCAAAATACTGGGGGACTCCTTGGATCACTAACATTCCTCACGTTTACTGCAGGGCCCTTTGGAGTCTTGCTCTGCAGTTTCTGTGCCTCCTGGAGCCCCACGAACCTTGCCCCCACAGAGCCCCGTGTCCAAGGGCAGCCATCCTCTGAGTAGCTGCTGTTAACCCTGGCCTCTAAGGAAAGTAGAGCATGGATCCCCTCTTCTCCAGGAACTTGGCCAACGTCCATGCTCTTCCCAGTAGCCTTTTTCTTCTTTCTCATGTTCAAAGGCAGCCCCTCCCACCTCCTCTTCCTCTGTGAGCACTGGCTTTCACAGGGACAGGAAGCCTGTTCGTCTTCAGTAGTTTCAGCTTTCAGAACCTTGTGAAGGCCTATGATGTAAGGAAATACAGAGGGCGTCACAAAGACAGGCTTAAACGAGGTGGAGGAGAGGAAAGAGAAAGAGAAACAACTCTTACTGTTTCCCTGCTTGCTGTTGTCACCATGTGTCCTATACATGTCTGGCCATCATATATTGAATACTATTTCTACATTTGGAGAAATTTCCACATTATGCGTCTACCTCCCCAGTGTCAGAAGTGAGAACACAAATTTCCAGCCTCTTCTGCAACTTGGATTTTGGCTCTCCAGTCAGGAACACGCAGGTGAGACCATGATGTGGATGAGAACAGGGGAGATGTGGGCTCTGTGCTGAGCTTGAGAGAGACCTGGCATCATTAGTAGTTTCAGTAAGGCTTTGGCATTTGAGCTTTGGTGACAGGGACAGTAATTTTTCCATCAAGACACTTCTACAGCCCATTTTTGTTAAAAAACCAGTGGTGGTTCCACTTCTAGGAATATGTCCTAAGAAACCTGAAAACACCTTCAGAAGACTATATGCACCCTTATGTTCATAGCAGCACAATTTGCAATAGCTAAGATCTGGAAACAGCCCAAGTGCCCATCAGTAGATGAGTGAATAAAAAAGCTGTGCTATATTTACACCATGGAGAATTATGCAGCTGTTAAAAAGAAGGATCTCTTACTCTTTGAGACAGCATGGAGGAACTTGGAGAGTATTATGCCAAGTAAAATAAGCCAGTCAGAAAAAGACAAGTATTACATGATCTCACTCAAATGTGGAATCTAATGAACAAAATAAACTGATAAAATAAATCCAGAGAAATATGGACACTGGGATCTTTGACTCATGCTTACTTAGGTTGTTGATTATAAAGCTTTCCTCTTTTTTACTACTGAAGGAGTGAGTGGCTGCCACCAGGCTGGTGGGCTGCTGGGATGGGTAGGTCAGCTAAGTGGTGCTCCCGCTATGGGAGTGCACTGACCGCCAGGGGGCAGCTCCTGCATTGAGCATCTGCCCCCTGGTGGTCAGTGCGCATCAGAGCAACTTGTTGACCCAGTCGTTCCAGTTATTCAGTCGTAATGGTCGATTAGGCTTATATATATATACTAGAGGTCTGGTGCACAAAAATTTGTGCACTCCGGGGGGGGGGGCGGTCCCTCAGCCCGGCCTATGCCCTCTCGCAGTCTGGGACCCCTCG